CCCCTGCTCCTGCCGCGGCCGTCCGCGCCGCGCCCCCGCGGGCTGCCGCCGTCGCTGCTGCTCGCGCGGCCGCGGCTCGTCATGCTCGGGCCCCCGTCTCGGCCGCGCCCGCTCCTGCTGCTGCTGCGGGAGCGGCTCCGGCCGCCCTTGCCGCCGCCGCCCCGCCCTCGCCCCCTGTCGCCCCGGCTCCTGCTGCGGCTCCTGGCCGCGCGGCCGCCCCCGCCCCAGCCCCTCTTCGCGCCAGCCACCACCCGCGGAGGCACCTTCGGGCCAAGGCGCGGCTCAAGCCTGGGTGCCGTCCACCTGCCGCCGCCGCGGCCGTCGCCGCTGCGGCTCCTGCTCCTGCTTCTGCTCCTGCTCCTGCTGCGGCTGCGCGCCCACCGGGTGCCGCCGCCGCCACCGCCGCGGCGCCGCGGGGCACCGCTGTCAGCGCTCCCGTCCCGCGCTCCGCGGCCGCTGCCGCCGCCGTCGGTGGCGCTGCCGCTCGGGGACGGGCCAGCGCCGTTGTCGCGTGCGGCGGCTGGCTCAGACAACTGTATCGGGTCTTCCGGCGAGAGAGGCACCGCCGGACAGAAAACAGAGCCACGCCAGGCAGCAAAACGCGCCTCTACGTCCGTAAACGGCCGCTCGGGTGCATCGTAGCTGGGCACGGGGAGCCGCGCGTCCCAAGCAATGATGTCATCGTTTGCAGCCGCCCAGGCGATGAGGTCCAGCTTGGCGGCGCCCGCGGCCGGCGGCGGCGGCGCGGTCTCGTCGAGTGCGTGCACGTCCGGCGCAGCTGCAGCCGCAAAGGCGAGTAGCCTCGGCTTGCGGGCTGGGGCGGTTGTCGGAGCGGGCTCCTGCACGGCTGCCATCGCCGGCGTAGCTGCAGGGGCGGAGGCCACCGCGGCGCTAGGCGTTGTGGTCGGCGCGGCCTCAAGCAAAGCGGCCTGCGCAGTCGGCGGCGCGTCGCAGCGGGCTTGGGCAGCTGCGGCCGGCGGCGGCAAGTGCGCCGCTGCTATCGCCATAAGCGCATCGGTGATTGCCTCTGACACCACGTGTGGCGCGCCTTCGGGGCTGCGAGGGGTCTGCTGCAGCTGCTGCTGTGGCGGCGCGGAGGGTGCTGGGGTTGGGGCGCACGCCTGTGGAGGGTCTTGTTGCTCCCTCTGCTGCATATCATGCTGCTGCAACCCCTTCTGCTGCTGCTGCTGCTGATGATGATGCTGATGCTGCTGCTGCTGCTGCTGCTGCTGCTGCTGTTCCCGCCGCTGCTGCTCCCGCTGCGGCTCCTCCCGTCGCTGTTGCCCCTCCAGCAGCTGCTGGCCATCCTGCTCCAACCGCATCTGCTCTGGTTGCTCCTGATTCAGTTGCCGCTGCTGCTGTTGCCGCTCCTCTTGCTGCTCCTGCTCCTGCTGGTGCTGCTGATGATGCTGCTGCTGCTGTTGTTGTTTTGTGTGTTGCTGCGGCTGTTGCTGTTTCAGCTCAACCTGCGGCTGCTGCTGCTGCCGCTGCTGCTGCTGCACCTGCTGCTGCTGCTGCTGCTGCTGCTGCTGCTCCTCTGCCTGCTCCTGCAGATGGTGCCCGTCCTCGTCCTGCTGCAAACGCCGCTGATCTTCCCCCTGCTGGTGCTGCTCCCCGTGCTGCTGCAGCTGACGGTGCCCCGCCTGCCGTCCTTGCAGCACAACCTCCTCGCCCTCCTCCTCCTGCTGCTGCTGGTGCTGCTGCTGGCGTGGCTGCTGCAGGAGCTCTGCATCCGCCGCCTCCCGCCGTCGCCGCTTCTTCTCCCCCTCAACCTCCTCCAGTTGTGCTGCCATCACACCCTCTGCTCCCACCTCCTGTGCTGGCAGATCAAGATGCTGGCCGCGGTGCCGCTCTCCTGCCCCGCCCCGCTGGCGGCCGGCGGCAGCCGCCTGCGTCTGATCCACAGCGGCCGCGGCAGGGTTGGTGGGGCTGCCCGCACCCATTGCTTCAACATTCTCTGTGTGAGGGGACGTACCACCCTTCGCTAGGTGCGCCCCTGCGCCTTCGGCCCCTGTTTCTGCCGCCGCCGAAGCCGCCCCTGCTGCTGCCGCGCTCACGGGCGTTTCGGGCGTGCCAGTGCGCGCGCGGCGCGCCGCCCCGCCGGCGGACTTGCGCCCGCGTGCACCTGACGCGGGTGTGGCTGCAGCAACCGGCTGAGTGGGGTGTGCCTTTGCGGCGGCTGCCGCCTTGCCACGAGGCGCCGCCTTGGCCTTTGGGAACTTGGCTGCGACGGTAGTGTCTGGCGGCGGTGTCCCAACAGCATGGCGCCGGCGCCTGAGGCGCGATGCAATTGTGTCGTCGCCCGCTGGTGTCACGTTCGGCGCAGCGGCACTGGTACTCGGCGGTGGGTCCGCGGGCACACTGCTTGCAAGTAACCCTCCGCCGGAGGAGTTCCGCATAGTGACCACAAGCGGGAGATCGTCTTCCGAGGAGGCCATGGCGTCAAGCGGTGACAATCAAGGACAACCTAGAGTAGATCGGGTCCCGCCATGTTGCAAAATGGGCGGTGACACAGGCTGCGAGTCATATTAAGGTTTTTCGGCACTCAAGGAGATTGCACCGTGCACAGACGGCCTGTGCCACAAGAGTTTGTCACCCACGTACTGATCATCTGAGCACCTTCTCCCTCAGCTGAAGAGCGCCACAAACAACTCACACAATGTGTACATAGTTATAGGCGGAAATTCTGCGTCATATAGAAGTATACCTCAACTACCTTGGAGTCGTAGTCGGCCGTCACCGTCTCACCGGGGATCAAAGGAGCAGGTGTGCGGCAAGCAGCAGAGTGCACAAAGCGAGTGGGGTATCCCTGCCCGTACCATTCCACCGGGACTCGTATCACAAAATCACCTGAGCGCGACGGCGAGTCGATCAGAGCGGCAGAAGGGTCATATGATCGGGGTGTGGGTCAATGCGCCGCCCTCCGTGTGGCGGCCAGAGCAGACCACGACCTGAGTGACGCCAGGCTCCCTGTCGACTTTAGGCAAGCGGCTATAGATGCGTCGGGGTACAAGAGGAGCTCCCGATGCTTGAAGACGTGGGATGACACACGAGTTTTGACGAAGTCAATACATATGCACATTCTCTGTGTAGACCCCATTCGGCACTGTACAGCAGGTATTGCCGACATCTTTCTCACATTGACAGTCAACAACCACAGCAGCAAGATCTGACGCTGGGGATATGTGACTCAACTACGACCCCACACGTATGCACAGGGCAGGTACACGTGCGCTCGAGTGAGTTGAGGCGGGTCACTGCGGCCCGTATTGGAGCGAGATGGCAGGCTAGTGATGTCAGATTGGGTCGCACGTGCAAGTAGCGGTGCTCATCCAAAGTACGCCGGGCTAATCGCGGAAGTCCTCAATCAGTCGCCAGCGACTAGAGTGGGCTGGGCTGCACTCTTGTCGTTGTGGTGCGACAAGCGGCTGCTGGAATTTTGGCACCGACTGCGGAATATGGCCGACACCCGAATCGTCAAGCAGGTGGTTTCCGGGGCGTGCAGGGCTGGGGGCGACGGCGCCCGCAGGGGCGGGGCCCGGCGGCGGACCTGGCTTGACCATGTCGCAGACGCGATGGACGAGTGGGGCATTGACGCCACTCGTGCGTGCTGAGCAATTGGATTACAGCCGGTTCAAGCGGTTGCGGTGCAAATCCCTGCCATGTGTGTTGAAGTGCCAGCTTGTCAAGGAGCGTTTTCCGAAGCCTGCCTTGGATGCATACATGTCTCGTTTTGGGGATGGACCTGTGGCATTTGACCATGCAAAGGCCTACCTCACAGGCGCCAGAGCATGCAACCGGGGTAAGGAGCTTGTCCTCCAACTGCGCACTGGCTCTCTCCCCCTTGCCTCGCACACAGGGAAGTTCAGCCATAGCCGGCGGAATAAACCCTCTGATAGTTCTCAGTATTGCTGCCCTGTCTGATCAACTAGAATTGAATCAGTGTCGTATATTTATTTGACTGCCCCAAATACGAATCAGTGCGTCGAGAGCTGTGGCGGCGACTGGAGGACGAGATCGCGCCTGAATGTTGGCATGTGTTGCAACAGATGCAGAATGATGAGAAAGCTTACAAGTTGCCTATTTTTGATTTTCTTGGCGGCTCTGTGCTTGCTGATATTGTTGCCCCTTATGTGTTTGCTTGCTGGCAGATCCATTGGAAGGTTAGGAATGAGGAGGTTCGCTCTGATGAGCGCGGGGCCGATGGCAGTGATGCTATGGCATGAGTAACTTATCTATCTATCCATCACTGTTGACGTCAAGATGTGTCACCAGTGGGTATATGCATGGGGCGATGATCTGTTGCGAGCTTTCACCAACCACACCCCTCGGCTGGTTGCAGAGCTCCCACGGCCGGCACCGACAGTGTCTGAGTGATGGCCAGCTGGCCACCGCGACTTATGATAGAGGCGACACTGCGGCAATGCGTTCACGCGACCAGGGCAATCGGTATTGAGAATGAACTTTGAGGCTTCTACTGCCCAAAACCACCCTGGGCCGCACCGCCTGCAGCGGCATCACGCAGGCACTCACCCGACAGCTGCACGCGACTAATGGTGCAGCTGCTGAGCAGCCACTGCAACCCGCACCTGTAGCACATTGTGTGGGCGTTCTCGAGCGCTGCATACGCACAACGTTGCAACAGCGTTGCAATCGCGGCTTTTTCAGCACCGCGAATGTGATTTATGGCCGAACCCGCCCGTGAGCCCCCGGCTCAGGCTGTAGTCAAGCCTCAAAACATAGTAAATCTGAACGTGGGTGGTTCCAGATACACCGTGGGCCTGTCGACCCTCACCTGCACGGAGGGGAGCTATTTCGATGTCCTTCTCAGCGGGAGGTGGACCTCTCAGCTCACTGAAGATGGATGCGTCTTCATCGATCGAGACGGAGAGGTGCGCGCGCTCGCCAGAGCAGGACGATGCGGAGCGTCGGACCTGCGGCAAGCTGTACGCGGGGGCCCCGCGCAGGGGACGTCGAAGTTGTGCAACCGTGAAAAATCATATTTATCATAAGGCGGGCAAGGTACCGCTGTGCCGGCCTGCCTCACATGCAGTCGGGGCGCGCTGCACACTTTGTCATCATGTGATGGGTGCCGTGTCGCCACTGATAGTAGCGCCGGGGGTGTGAAGGCACATTCACAACTAGAGCATGGCGCAGCCGCCATTCGCTGCCCGGGTCTCAGCAGCAGCTTCGATGTCGTGCGTGCTTTCCGTCAGCCGCTGGCGGCTGCCCCATCACAACCCTGCCTACACATACGGACCAA